AATTATCTTGCTTTTTTCCATTTTAGTCATCCCAATTTTGAAGAAGCACAAATTGTCGTGTCGAATTTTCCATGTGTGCAATGATTAAGATGATTAGAAGAAAAAGAAAAAAAAAACAGTTGAACTTCAATACACGACACGAATATTTTTGCTTTAACAACACAATAAGCTCCAATTTTCTTTCTTACGCTTGCCTTTTACGCCCTTAGCCCTTCGTGTTATTATTATTATTACATGTATGTGTGTGTATGTGTGTTTATGTCTATGGCTTGTCCCAGTCTCTTTCTCTGATCTATAATTCACACGTACAAAAAAAATACTATATCTTATAAACAAAACAAAAAAAAAAAAAAAAAATAAAAAAACTAAAAGAATGTTCTCTACGTTGCAATTTTGTATGCACGTATATCTCTATCGAAGATATGTGATCGTCTAAAGCACACACGGGTTGAGCTTTGACGTCAAATGAGAAATACGTTCTGCAGATCGATGTCGTCATCGGCTTCTGACGACGAGCACGAGCCCTGGGACGCGCCATTAAGGAGACAAACGGTGGCATGCAGCAACATCGTCAACTCTCGTACCAGAGGTGCCTATCGTTTTTCAATATCATCTTCTTCTCCGGGCCCGCGTGATAAAAAGCTTGAGGGGAAGAATATTCGCCGCAAGCTTCTTCTTCTTCTTCTTCTTCTTCGTCGTCGTCTTCTTCTTCTTCTTCGTCATCGTCGTCGTCATCCTCCTTCTCCTAATTTCCACGAAGCTATTCCAACTACTGTGTATTGCACACTTCATTTTCATGCACAATGACAATTCTACGGGAAGAATAAAATGAAGAATATATAAACAGTAACAAAATGCAGGCCCAAGCACTTAACAAAATAATATCAACAATTGAGTAAGCTTCTATACGCTAAACGTCGAAAAAAAAAAAAAACAGATCACGTTTTAAAAATCATTCGTACAGATCATTTTGAAAAGAGAGAAAGAAAGAAAGAAAGAAAGAAAGAAAGAGAGAGAGAGAGAGAGAAAAAGAAACAACACAACCAACTATTTAACTGAATAATTTGATCGAACTCGCGCGTTTTCTTCATCTATAGGACAATAATAAAAATATTCTCGAACGACCCGATTCCTATTTAAAAACAATCGCGTAATAATTCTTCTTACGGTTAGAAAAAAATCTCGTGTATCGTGCATCTATAGAAAGATAGAAATAATATATGTATAAAAAAAAAAGAAAAAGAACAGAAGAAAGAACAAATCGGATCGACTCTTGCTCTAAGAAGAGAGAAAGAAATCATTCTCGATCCAATTCTCTCTGCATTTTTCAGACGTCGAGGTTCAAACGACGAACTCACCACATCGCGTGGTGCAACAACGCCCATCGGGCAGCGGGGGACAGAGTCTGATCAACACTCCGTTTTCCAGAGACCCGAATATCCCGGTCCGATGTCCACCGGAAGATTCAACAACCCGGCCAAAAATCAGTAACACCGGATTACAACAAGCTGCCGCTATCGATCGTAGTCCTATTGGATCTTCTAACGCTCATAATCCTCGCTCAGTAAGTTCGATATTTACATTGATATGATTTTATCGAGATGATTTCTCTCGATGATCGATGACATTTGATTTGAATTTTGTAGAATAATTATGAGAATACTGGGTCAGTACGTTCTAAGAAACATGCACCTCCACCTCCAATTCCATACGGCCGAGTATCACCAGCCCCAATACGCAATTACGATGTTCACAATTCGGAAAGTCGAAGTAGAAATAATTTAGATACTGGAAACGATTGGGAATTCGATGACAAAATTAATCGAAATGTCAATGCCCTACCTGGCAATCGGTTCGTTCGTAACTTAACATTCAATTTTCATTTAGATATTCGATACTAATGTTCTTTTTTGTTTTTTTTTTTTTTATCTACATTTTTCTAGTCCTAATCCGATACAAGAGTTACAAATGTTGGGTCGTAGAAATAACAATGACGACGGCAGTAGAGGCGGTGACGATCAACCACCATTTAATTTTCAGGTAAATCAAATGATAATAATGAAAAGATTTATCTATAAAATGATAATATTGATCATTCGTATTAGGCGATGCTGAGAAAAACACCTCATCAACGTGCCTCGATGAAACGTACTGCCGTTTATGACAGTTATGTTCCTTCCCCGTCACCTTACGGACGTCCAATCAGCCATGAAGATCAATACGAGTCCAATGTCGTTTACAGAAGCAGTGGTAGTCGGAGAGATTCCTCCGAATGGAGTCCCAACGAAATGATCAGAATGTCGGAAAAGTATGGTCGAGAAGGTGCATGGTCTGCTGGTGGAGATCGCAGCAACAATACTGGCGACGTTTCTGAAAGTATCACCACCGAACTTGCTCCTGGAATTGTCGTCGAAGGCTACGTCTCTGAACTCTAAATTCCAAAAAAAAAAAAAAGAAAGAAAGAGAGAGATAAAAAGAGAGAGAAAAAAAATAGAAACAGAAACAAATAATGAATTACTTTAGAATCTATTCTTCTACTACTCAGGTACCAATCGAAACTTTTTGATAAACCGACGATCGCAATATTTTTGTTTGTAGTTCTATCGTGTATCTTTGAATGAGAACTACTAACTACACTGTTCACATAGATTTCATGCAGAACGTACAATATACTTTATTTAATTATTTCATTTCTTCAGAAGAACGTGACCTTATCTCTCTCTCTCTCTCTCTCTCTCTCTCTCTCTCTTTCTTTCTTTCAATACCTGAATATGTTCTTAAATTAATTGAAGTATAGGACATATTTCTATAACGAGTTTTCTAATTATCCATGAGTTTTCATTCATAAGAAAAATACTAATGATATAAACACGTTATTGTGTATCTAGCACGGCTCCTTTTCACACCAACCACCATCCAGACACCTCGTTCACGTAATTCAAAGAATCGTAATTGTCCTCTTCTCTTCTTCCATAATCTACGAAATAATTTTAGCGACACACGCAAACTTTGATTTGTTTAACGGGACTGATTAGCACGAAGCCACGAAGAAAGCGCACTTCATAATGTCCCTCCTCGATTCTAGCGCAATTCCATGATCAATTTGATCGAATAATCATTTATATGAGCTATGATTAATCTTATCGATTACATAAGTATATCGCTTTGCAACGAATAATAAATAAGCAAAAAACAATAAGAATTCGAATAATGTACGATTATTATACGAACGAAAAGATAATTAATTAAAAATAAATTAATATTGAAAAAAAAAAAGAAATAATAATAAAAAAGAAAAATCGTAAGTTCTTCTTAACACTTAGCCGACCGATCGGATAGATCTATCCATTTTGATCTGAGGAACGCTTATTTCTCTACTCTATAATAAAATGCACCAATTTTGAAGATTTCCGAATAGGTTCCTCTGCCAGCCATAAAATTATTTTCTTGAACACTTAGCCTCTGTAACACGTGCGGTCGGCTGGCTAAGTGTTAACAAATAATCATTTTGTTCCTATCACACAACAACAACAACAACAACAAACGAAATATATTTTATCTTAAATATCAAAAAATTTGTATAAAAATAAAAACAACTTATATATACCTTGGTTAAATTAAGTTGACACATGTGATGAACACGGGGATTATGAGAAGGAACGGGAAAGAATTTCAAATTTACTTCATCTTGTTAGAAAAAAAAAAAGAAAAAAGAAAACTTCTTCCAACTTTTGAATCATATCGATAAAACTCGATATGAAATCTTTGATTAATCTTTGTCGACCTGCGAATGATCATTTTGTTGAGAACTTTGCTTGATAATGTTCACCAGGGTATCCAATCTTGTTGGTCGAGCTATCTGCAGGACCATGTGAGCTTCTTCCAAGATCAATAGACCATTATGGGCGTCGTTCGCAGACAAATTGTGTGCGTATATGACGTGTTGTTTCCAAGCGGTGTGTGTTGGTAAAATCTAAAGGAAATACAGACAAGAATTACATGAGTATCGTCATTTGATCTTGATCATGTATTTAGGTTGTTTGAAAAGTAATTTCGTTTATCTTTTGTGAAAATGAAGACAATTGTTGCTTTGAGATTAAACCTAGGCCTTTCAAATGAACATTAACAATTAAATTTGATAAATTTAACTTCCCACCAATCTCACGTTTTGTTTGTTTATTTATAGGCTTGCATCAACAAATGTCTTTATTGTGTCAAAAAAAAAAAACGAAAATTACTTTCAAAACAACCCAATATATACTAAATTTAATGAATGTTTTTTTCTTTTGTTTAACACAAGGAACAATAACGACGAAACGAACCTGTGGACACCACTTGCAATTAAGGGATGGTGAAATAGTATGAACAGCTTTGATATGTCTTCTTCGAAATCCCCAACTGGTGTAGGCACGATCGCAAAAGGGACAGGGAAATGGTAGATAAACGGAACTTCCTTTGACAGTTTCCTCAGAAAAATCTGAACCACTCGAACGAGATCCTCCAGCAACTTGTTCCAATGATAAAGAATCTGTTGTAGTTTCTGTTGTCAATACTTTTTTAGAAGAAGACAATTCCAACTTGAGAATTCCTGACTCTCCTCCTCCTCCTCCTCCTTCTAATCCTCCTCCTCCTCCTCCAGGATTTTGTACATCCAATGTAGAAGATTCATCCTTTCCATCCTTCAAAGTTTTCCTATTTGGACTCCTGTTCTCCTCGGGAATTAGTTCGGATACTCGAAAGCTCGATTTTTTCTGTGCTTCTGCGATTATCGTCACTGACCGCTTCGAAGACCCTATAATTAATCGCCGTAGACGATTGAAATCATAACCCTGTAACTCGTTCCACCTCCTCCTCCACCTCCTCCTCCTCCTCCTCCTCCTTCTCGTCCTTGATAGCATTCGTCCATAATCGAACTAGGTGTTTGTTTCATATTTGTTCGAATGAGGATACAATTGTGTAAAGGAACGGATAATATGTCTTTTGGAGAAGAAGTAAACCGCTAAAAATGTAAAATAGGTTTTATTTGCGACCAATCACGTGTGTCTTGTCTACAATAAAATTATTTTAAATTAAACGATCGGTACGTTCAATGATTCGTCCGTACTGTAACATTCATAAGTTCATATATATATATATATATTATATATAAAATAGATCTCACGCTAAAAAACAAAAAAACAAATAAGAAAAAAATTTGTTGAGAAAATTCTACGAAAAAGAAAAGAAAAGACAAGAAAAAAGGAAATATGAGGAAAATATGATTAAGGCCATCGTGTAAATTAACCCTTTCGCTATGGGCGACTTCTTCGCCGTGGTATTTCCGCTGAACGTGTCGCCCCCGCGCCAAAAATGTGCACGGTGCTCGATTAAAATCGACAGTGGCCGCGTTTATTATGCTTCACAACAACCCCGATTTGATTTGACAGTGTTTATTGAAAAAAAGAAAAAAAAAAAAACAACTCCACAAATTAAAATATTTCTAACAATTAAACATATTAACTTAATCGTTCGTCATATATGTATTATACAATGTACAATACGCGCGGCATTTTATGCATAGCGATTATAGACGCCCGTAATATGTGAGTAGAATTTTATGGAAAGCGACTATAGTCGCCCGTAATGGCGAAAGGGTTCAAATGAAATAAGAAAGGAAGAAAAAAGGGGAACGAACCAACGAACGGACCACTCGTGAATAAATGTATTTGTAATATTCTAATAGTTAGAGCGCTGTAAAAGCGCTCAACGCATTTTCTTCCGCTTCTTTATTATTTATTTATTTATTTATTTATTTATTTATTACTTTTTTTCCTGTTTTTTTTTTTTTCAATTTTTTTCTTTTATTCCGTTTTTTTTCTTTTTTTTTTTTTTTGTTAAATATACTACAAGCATATCTTAAATTACTAGGTTTTTCTCATCATAATATGCTATGATTTTTATTTTGACTTTTGTTTTTTTCTTTTTTTTTCTTTTTAATTTATTTATTTTACTTATACTTTTGTGTTTCCTCCGTTTTTTTTTCCTTTTTTTTTTTTAAGTATACACGATAAAAGTAGCCGATGATAAATCGTTGTTGCCGTGAGCGACACGATTTTCACGCACGCGGTTTTTTTATCCTTTAACACAACATTTTAATGCAACGCAGCACACAACACACACACACAAACACACACACACATTGCTTTATTTTCTTGCTCGCTCGCTCGCTCGCTCGCTTGCACGCTCGCGCGCGTCTCGTGTCGTATATAGTAATAGTAATAGTAATAGTAATAATAGTAATAGTATTATTAGTAATAATAGTAATAATAGTAATAGTAGTAGTGTCTCTCTCCTTATATTTATCTCTTTGTCTTTATCTCAACTACAATTTTTTTAGCCGTGTGTACGTGCGTGCATGCGTGCGTACATGCATGCCTGTTTGCCCCCTGCGTGCCCTTGCGTGAATGCGTGCGTGCGTGCGTGCGTGCGTACATGCGTACGTGCGGATCTTTGCATCGGTGTGTTGTTTCTTTTACAGAGACCCGGTATAATAATAATAATAATAATACTCTCCTCCCGTATATTCGTGTAATTCTTATTTCGCGCGATGCCATCATCTTCTTCTTCTTCTTCGCGTGTCCATCGAACTAAACCGAGGAGCTTTGATATATCGTGCGCTGTCTACAACTTTAGTGCGTACTTAGGATTGCGTGAAACACCGTATAAATAAATAGATCAAAGAAGAAGGAATGTCGTGTAACGTTGTAACGTGGCCGCACGATAGGAAAATATACGACGACGACTTGTCTCTCGTACGCAAATCTTAGAAAGAAAATAATAATAGAAAACAAAAAAAGAACGATCGATGGTCTTCTTATCCCATCATAGAGGGGGGTTGAATAGTACACGTGAGTGTGAAACGTTTGGGGTGGTATTTCTAAAGAAAGAGTTTCACTATCTCTCTCTCTCTTTTACTCTTTCATTCTCTCATTCTTTCTTTCTTTCTTTTATTCTCTTTCTCTCTCTCTCTCTCTTTCTCTCTCTCTCTCGCACCCCGAACGAATATATTCTAAATATGACGAATATCTATCATCGATCATACGATTCTATTGAACATTAACGCGTCTAATATTGTTTTGATACAACGACGTCAACTCAAATAAAAAATATCCCTAAAGTATCTTCCTTCTTCCTTTGAACAACAATGACCCTTTTACTTTTCGCGCGCTTTGTTTCAATCATTGATTTGAAATCGATAATAGGACAAAGCTACAAAGCGAAAATACGGTAAAGAGGAAGTTAACACAATAGGGTAATTAATAAGGATGATGGATAAGAATAAAATGAAATGGTGACGCCGATAGATCGAAAGTGGCCTATTCCAGCCAGTGGAAACGTTTCCGTTTGACCCCTGACTTGAAACGCCCTAGTCATTGCGTATAAACGGAACGCCTTTGAAAGAGATACCTTTTCAAACCCCTATTGCTAGTGTCAATCTTTGTAACGCAATTCTTCCACACTTCCTCCCATTCGATACTGTTTGGCGAGATGCCACTAAAGTGTAGCAAAACCTCCCTTATCAGGTGTATCTTGTTGCTATCGAATTGCTGCTTTCCCATTTTACCATTGACATTGCAGAGTATCCTCTCTTCGGGAGTGAAGAGGATCTTCATTAGATCGCATGCTAGGTGATCCATTGGTCGTGATGACGCCCACGTTGAGATAATGTCCGGGCTCGGTAGTAGATCGGCGTAAGGTAGCTGCTGATACGAGTAAAGCACCGGCTTCACGTCCGAGAATCCAGTTAGGCCGGATAATCCAGATATACCGGAAATGTCTTCAGCAGGACTGTTCCCAGACCCTGCCACACACATCAGCACAGCGCACTTTAGACACGGATCTTCCCGCTAACGAGACATACGCTTACAAAAACGCGCGATGTTTACGTATGCAAACACGCACGCACGCACGCACGCACGCAAGCACGCACGCACGCACGCATAACACAAACAAAACAAATTACATATATAAAGCGCGCACATTCGACTTTCGTTTCACACGGTTTCTTGGACATTTGGATCGGGATTATTATGTACGAAAGATAAGATCCAGTGAATCATGATCGGTGAAACGATCGATCGCATGCGCGTATTTATCTATTTATGAAAAGCTGAATCAAATTATTTATCATTTATCATTTATATTATTTTTATTAAGTAAATATTTAACGATATATTATCCAGCTTTTCACATTAACTCTTTCAAGCTCTCTTTCTTTCCCCCATGCATACATCAGCTCGTACATCTATTGATATATACACGACACTTTCTCTCTCTCTCTCTCTCTCTCTCTCTCATTCATACTCCCTCTTACAACACACACGCAATTCCTCTTTCTTTCTCTCACTTTCATACGCTCTCGTTCCATCTTTTTCTCAACATCCCCATGGCGCAACAAACGAAAAATTAAATGTGAATCGCCAATCGAGCGACAACTAAAGAGTTACGATCAAAGCAAACTAAAACATTCTGGCAAGCTTCAAATTCGGTACCAAAGAAAATGCCTCCGGTACCTCATAGCTGCCGATAGATGATTCGAATATTCTTAAATATTTAAATGTAATCAATAAAAAAAAAAAAATTAAATAAATATAATAAATGTATATCACTTATTTTCTGAGAAATTATTGACTTTTGTTTTAATCATTTATAAAAGTTTCAATGTTTCTCTGCTCTCCGAGTTATAAATTTCCTAAAATATAAATTAAATACTATAGAAATTAATTTTGTTACATTCATTTCTCATCTTGATTATCGTAACAACAAAAATACCAATTATGAAAATGACAGAAGTTTTGAAGCGTAGAAAAATTTGTTTAAAAAAAATACCCTTTTGAACCTATACTTTCGATCTTCAAGTCTGACAGATCAAATAATTATTCATAATTTTAATTAAAAGTCATAGTTGTTCCCAATATCTGATAAATAATCCAACGCGTAATTTATAGAGAAAAAAAAAATCATTTCTAGAATAGGAATTTTGCTGCAATGGCGTTAATACGTAAGTACCAATTTATCTAACAAAAGTACAACTCGCAAAGAAAATAGATAACATTGAAATAAATGATATGCAAATATGGAATTACAAAATAATCAAATATTAACTTAACTAACCTTGTATTCCATCCATTTGTCCAGTGTCTAATCTATCCGTTGGATCTTTCTCGATGGAGGCTCTCTTTTGTAAATCTTCTGGTGTCATCTCTAATGGTTCTATCTAAATATTAACATTATTTAATAAACATTATTAAATAAACATTATCAAACATTTCTATTAAACAAACTCACTTTCATTTCTAAACGATGAAACACAGGATCCGGTAAATCAGATGAACCATGATCTGTGTCCTTCCCACTTTGTTCACTACCATTGGATTCGCTAGTATTTTCAGATTGGGATATTCTAGGTGTTAACGCTTTCTCCAATATAGAATTGTTATGTTGTTTACAAACTTTTTGTTTCTTTTTAGGTGCTTCTTCCTTGACGACAGGTATATCCTCATCAATGTTTGGTTCCAATTCTGCTAACCTTTTGAAAGAATCCTTAGGAAATATATCACCACCTGACAAGCCACGTATTTGCAATGTCTCAGCAGCTTTCAATAATGCTGGTAAATTTTCCTGTTCTATATTAACCTCTCCTTTATATATAAATATAAGTAATGCTTCAAGCTCACAAAAGCGTACATCTTGCAGTATTATGACTGGATGCTGACATGGGTTAGCCTATGAAGAAAAGAATAAATAAATAAATGAAAGGAAAAATAATCAAAGTGTATAAATGCTTGAAAACAAAATATTCATTATAATTCTACGAAACAATGAAAAGATAAATATTCCAATGATGTGTCAAAAGCATGACAAGATCTGAATGGCAGCTGTCAAACATTTGAACTAATCAAAAAGAAAGATAAATAGAATCTCATCTGACGGATGAGTAAAAGAAGAAAATTATTTGTTTGTAAAATAATATTAAGAGGAAAAACAAAAAAGAAATCAATTACCTGGAAGACTTTCTTGAAAAATGGACTACTTGCAGAAAGTATAACTTTGTGTGCCGTAAGACATTGTCCATCACTAGCAAGTGTCACGTCCACCAGGCCTTCTTCCTCCCAAAGACTCTCGAAGCTCGTTGCGATATTGTTCAAGAAGCTGTTCCACTTTAAGCATATTTGGCTTGACATGTCAAAAGAAATAAACTAAATCAAGAAGCGTATTAATTACCGCTTGAAATCGAATTTGACGCGTTAATATGAATACGTTTACACGGTGAATAAAACGGCGAACACGAGAGAGCAACGATCGTGCCAGGTACGCACAAACATTCTCCAAGTTGCTCGGGAGTATATAGTCAATATGGCTGCCGTGCAACCAGCGAAAACGCGCCAAATTCAAATCTCGTCGAAGCATTTCTCGCTCTTTCTCTCTCCTCTTTCTCTTTCTCTTTCCTTCTCCATTGCTCATTAAATACACGTACATTCTCTATCATAATTTACACCTCGTAGTGTGTATAATCAAATGAAAAAATTAAAAATAGATTTATAATCTCATCGAATTAATTAACAATTATTTTAGTAAAGATTTATTACTAAGTATCAAATACCTTTTCACGTATTGTTTTATCATTATCGATCATTTGATTATCCTCTTTATACTTATTTATCTTGAAAAATATGTATATAATTAATTATATAAATTAAATATATATATCACTGTATAAAATGAATCCAATTATTTACTCTATTTGTAACAAAGTATCGCATATTATTATTTCATCGATTAAATTATTAAAATATCACCCCCTATTGTTTCATCGTTATAGATCATTTTCGTTATTCCTTGTATTCGTTTATCGATTCATATAAATATATTTGACGTTGAGAAGTCATAAGTGATTGCGTATATACGTGCGTGCATCGTGCGTGCATACATGCGTGCATACGTGCATACGTGCATGCGTGCAAACCTGGTTGCCTCTCATGCTGTGTGCTTGTTAACAACTGCATACTGGTTGCTCGCGTGCGATGCATGCTTGCGTGTGTCCATGCCTATAACAAAGTTCCATAATCGTTAAGATTCCACCTTGCTTTTCGCCTTCAATTCATAGCTGTATAAAAAAAGAAAAAAGAAAAAAAAAATTAAGCAAAAGATGATGAAGAAAAATGTCTATAATACGTTTAATCTTTTTAAAGAAATATTTTATCCAAAGAAAGATTGAAAAATAAATCAACTTGTAGTCAAATGTATTCGTACAAATGCATCGAATTTGTTACGAGATATTAAATTGATCACTCTGTATAAAAGTTCATGTATGTTTTTTTAAAAAAAAAAAATAAATAATAATATTATTCGTTTGAAATTGAATACGATTGTAAAATGGATCGATTATCACGTGAACTTTGAAATATTTGTATGATTAATTTTGTTTAATGAAATGAATAAACTTACAAAATTATTTTATTTTATTTAGTTGAGAGGGTAGGTTGAAAAGTTTTGAATTACGACAAAAACATTATTTTCTTTAAAAAAAAAACAAAAATTGTTTTTATGTTAGATTCAAAACTTTTCAACATTGGTAGATCATATATTACAAAGGTACAATTAAACATGGATATTTTAAATACTAAAGTATATTAATTCATTTATGCTCCATGATTTTTTTTCTGCTTAGAATTATAGTAAATTAACGTCTCGAAATCATTTTTACGAATATTTATCGAACTCCATAACAACAACTAATATCAAATAATTTGATAAGCAAATTATAAATACTGTGTGAAATATATTTGAAAAGATATAATTATTTTAAAKAAATAAATTTGATTTATATAAACATTTATCAATGCATTATTGAAAATATTTCATCATTATTTCGATTTAATGTGATTTCATTTGTAATTTTAATTTCGAGAAGTTTGATTTTGAATTTTAAACGATTAAATATAACTTTTGATATCGGCCTTATTATGATTTTCGCGAACTAATGTTGATAAACATTGATGAGAGAAAAAAATTACAGTGAAAAGTGGGCACCGAATTTATATAATGTAACAGAAAGAGAAATAGAGTAACAGATCGTTTCCATTTGTCTTGTGAAGTTACATTACTGTGATGATGTTAGAATTAAAAAAAATATTGTAATTAAAGAGTACGTACATTTTCAATAATAATCATTTTTATTACAAATTAATTATGTAAAGTATAATAATTAATCTGATACTAATCAATTTGTGTTTAACTCGTATTAAAGATAATCATTCAGAATAACGGCAAATCAAATGATTTGAAATCGTTCAAAATTCCAAACAGACTTTTCCCAAAATGAAATTTCAAATGAAAGAATATATCAAATTTATTTTCTTATTTTTTGATCAACCCCAGCTTCATTATATTACTTGATTGTATTGTTCTTTACGTTGTATTTCACTTGTAATTAATATTTGATCATTTCGTTTATCTTCCAACGTGTATAAAGAGAAGTCAGGTCTTAGGATAAACGAAAATTCAAAATGTAGAATGTGTATTAATTAATTTAAGTATTCATTTTTCTTTTTTAGAATGAACTTAATATGTTACTGGAAAACCTATTCAAACCAGAAATAGAAAAAACATCAAACAGTCATTTCTATTTCGATCCAAATGTAATACCGACATGTTGGGCGGGGGTCAATAATCCCCTTTTTACTTTTGACAATGACTACTATATACAAATGACAACTTTCATGATATTCAAGACCGATAGTTGGATGGTTATGAATAAATATGAAAAAGCTAAAAAGGTTTGGGAGGAATACGCTGAATTAGAACAAGAAGGATTCGAAATAGAAAAGGTACAAAGATGGATGATGAAAAGGGAGGAAATTGAACGTAAGGATAGAATCAATTCATATAAAGAAGAAGCAAAGATAGTAGATACGAAAGAGACAATAATAAAATCGGAATGTTTAAATGATATTGATAAGAATAAAGATGAAACCAATGGACAATTGATAATCGAATTAACACATAATGAAAATTCCGAAGTTAATGACGAGAACACATTGAGAAATGAAGATTCATTTAAAAGTGAAGATTTAGACTCCTCCAATAATAAAACTAAAACAAATGATATCATCTCCATGGACAGAAGCCAAATGGACAACGATAAATGTAACAACAGTAGTAAAGAAGAAAATTCCATAGAAAATAATCAAGAGCTCGATTTGGAATTAGATAATAAACAAGGGTAATAATTATTCTATATATTACATCATACATATATGTTTCTACATAGATAGATATATGTAGAAATTATGTAGAAGGAAAGAGAAAGATTGTTAATTTCTCTTTAAAAACAATAAGTTAATATATAAACTTTACGGAATCATTGCGATCAACTTTTATAAAAATGTAAAAATAATGACTTTACTTTTTGTTTGTTTTTTTTTTTACTATGGTGTAGGAGTGAAGGACAAATTCATGGGTGACAATTGATTTCCTGGTGTGGCATCTGTCCTTGCATTTTGCTCTATAACCGGATCAGTTTCATTCATATCTTCTACCTATGACGATACAATATTATGAGGAAGTAAACATAAGTGATATTTATATAACAACATTACTGTAAAACAAGACAAAATAAAATTTGTACATACCACCATTGAAGTCTCTTCAACTTTTGCTCGTTTCTGTGCAATTGTTCTTAAGAGTCCTTTAGCTTCCTCTTTGGTTTCATCAAATTGAAGACATTTTTGTGCATAATGATTTGCTCTATCTAATTGTTCACGTTTCAAATGATACTGCGTAAGATACTTGTAAGCATGACTCAGTTCAGTTCTATCAGCATTTCTAAATTCATCCATTACAAAATCTGTATAGGCTGCTGCTGCATGATCGTGTTCACCCAACTTTTCATAAAGACTACAATAATATTGATTTTTATAATATAATTTTAATAATACTTAGATAAAATAAGAATCGTTCTTAAAATGAAAACGTACTTAGCTAATTTTATTAAAGCTACTCCTTCAATGTCCCCTACGTTGCATGCTTTAAAATAACACTTGAGTGCATCTTGAATTTTATCTTGTTTTTCGTATGCTTCACCCAATGCAAGAACCATACGACTATCGTGAGGTCTCAAAAGTTGTGCCTGTTTGTAATAGTACAACCCGTAAGAAGGCATCTTCAAAATTTCATAAGTCTGACCCAAACCATACCACGCTCTATAATCCCTTCTATTAACTTCTATATAAAAAATACAAAACAAATTCATTTAACAATTATTCTAATAGACAATTTAATAATTGATAACTCATATTCAGAAAAAAAATACCTATGGCTTGACGATAACTATGAATTGCACCATTAGTATTTTTCATTTCCATAAACTCATGACCAAGTAACGTCCAAGCGGATAAATACTGTGGATTAAGTTTCAATGCTCTGTGAAAATACAACACTGCTTTCTGATGATCTGCTCTTAAACTATAATAATTGCCTATAAATAAACAATATTGTTTATAGAATATTTGTGAATTTTGAAAGAAATCAAATCAATTTATTAAATATTAAAGTAACTTACCTACTATGCAACATGTTTCCAATCGATATTTATCTATTTCCGTTGCTCTATGCGCTAAATATGCTAATTCTACTTTCATTTCTTTAACATAAAGTAAATTTGAATATGTATCCATATTGTCAAGACAATACGGATCCTCTTTAATTATATGCTTGAATGTTTTTATAGCATTGTCAACGTCTACAAATATATTTATAAGAAAATAATGTTTTCATGAATAAGAAATCAAAAAAGAACACTAATATTATTACCTCTCCTATAGTGAACAGCAATTGCAGTTTGAGCAAGTACATAGGAATTTTTTTCAAAACCCATAGACTGTAATTCACAATACATGGCTAAACCCTCGTCGATAAGTTGCAACTCCAAATACATGTGTGCCATAAAGAAATGTTTTATCCAATGATTTGGTAGACGTAAACTTTCCAATTTTTCTCTATCAGTGATTAATGCAGCTAATTCTAACCAAGTACCCCAGTGCATTGGTTGCTTGTGAGTGGATTCAATCAAAACTTCGGTTGCCTCTTTGTTAAGCTGAAGTTTTTTCAAAGTAACTCCAAATAAATATAAACAAAAGCCATCTAATTTACCAGCCAAATGATCTTTCCTTAAATCGGCACAGAGTAATTTTAACGAATCATTTTTCATAGGATCTGGTGGTATATCCGTCATGTCATCTATTTTCTTTTTCTCTCCTGACAAATAACGAGAATACAAATACAAAAATCTTGCTTTTGGTGTTGTACATTTTTCAGTAAAATAAGCTGCTCTGTCGTATTCTTTTAAATCAAAATAAGTTTTAGCTAAGATATATGTGTCATCTTCTTCACTGGATTCTATCGCACTGATATCTGTAGTAACATCGTGTAAATCTATTTTCACGTCTTTTAATGAATAATTCAATTCTGCCAGCCTAGAATATAAAGAATTTAACTTTACTGATTTATTTACTTTTTTTTTAAATCCAATAATCATTTGACGTACCATTTACTAGTATGTAATAAACCACGTTGAGTGCATTCATTTATAGCCGGTAACAAATCACACTTAACCTCTTTAATATTAAATTTTACAAGATCATCCATTTATAATTAATTTGCATAAAGTCATCACATGCAATAATTTACACAACAAGTTTTTTTCAAATTATATATATATATAAATTAACAAAAACGATTGTTATTTATCTTTTTACAATATAATCGTATAACATTTCTTTTTCCAACCAAAAATAATCCTTTAACTGTATCCTTGAATGTCAACAACACGGAACTTAGATAACAGGAAGGCGAACCAGTGATCCCAGAGACTTTAGTTCGTCTGATCGACACAGGGGCGTAAAATTATCGTACACTCAGCGAGATCCCTATGTGACAGTGACAGTAGCGAGATCCCTATGTGACAGTGACAGTAGCGAGATTCCTATTTAACAGCACAGAGTAATCGGAAAACCTGGAAAATCATAACAGCGACAAATACACATGACATGATACCAACAAAATTTCTGAAAACGATAAACGTAAAAATTTTATTCAAATAGTAAAACAACGATAAATAATACAAGATAAGAACGAATTGCAATAGATTGAAGATAAATAAACGTAGAAAGATAGAAGGATTTTTTAAAGATAAAATTCTAAAAAAAAAAAATTAAAATTTTTTACCTTCAATTTGATTAACCCCATTTGCATCATTGCACTTTTTTTTTTATATTAGTAATTAATAACTATCAATTAAGATTATATTACCTGTGATACAGTGAATAAAGACGTATTTCTATGATTTAATTTAACATTCTTATTACGATCCTTGATTCGTCCAATTGTACACCCGTGAACAATACTTTTTTATAAATCTACAAAAACATTAATACAATTGCTAATGATGCAGTATTGTCAACAATTGTCAATATGACAAATATGACGCTATAAACATGACAGTAATGAACATTACGAAACCTAGCGATTTATTTCCGAAAATGATGTTTCCTCTTCCTTCCAATCGCGCTTCTTAATTATTTCCCTATGTTGATCGTCCTCCAAGTGTCTAGGCTCCGTGGATTCGTGGTTTCGCCTTATTATCGTATGAAATTGAAAAGTATTCGTAATTAGTACAATAGATAAATCATTGATTATAAAATTGTACGATTGATATAATTGAATTATGTTTTATAATACATTAAATTATTATTATTATTATTATTATTATTATTATTATTATTATTATTATTATTATTATTAACTAGCATTAGGATCTCGAAAATTCATTGCTGCAAATACCCAATCCTGCCACTGTTCCCGTGCCTAAGCGCGATCTTTCCAATCGCGTTCTTCGTATCCTATTTCTTTCAGGTCTCTTCTAATATTATCTTCCCATCTACGTCTTGGTCTACCTAGTGGTGTCATTTCCCTTCTGATTTGATATACCGACCAATATTTTGTGCGCCGTTCGATCCCCCCCCCCACATAACCAGCCCATCATAATCGATATGATATTATGGCGTTGACAATGCCCTATTTGTTGTACAATCGATTTACTTCAACGTTATGCGAGTTTTCTCCATTCGCCCGTTTCCTTATCGCGTTTTGCACCGAACATTTTACGAACAACTTTGTTTTTGAAAATCCTACATTTCTTCTCGTCCCGTAACATAAGCGACCACGATTCGCAACCATAAAGGACTACCTGGTAGAATGATTGTCCTGTATATCCTGATTTTGAATCGCCTAGATAGCAACCTCGAGTTGAGTAATTTGTTAACCGAATATAAACATGAATTGCAAAGATTAATCCTGATTAATGATCGATCCTAAATACCTAAAGTTGTTGACCCGCTTAAAAGTTTTATCCCAGACGACCAAAGTTCCAATACTAGGCCTATTCTGAACTCTATCGGTTACTATATATTTGGTTTTTTTTTAATTAATGCCTGTTCATTGTCCCCCTAACAAAACAATATCGTCCGTGTATGTCAACAATTGTGTTGTCCCGTTCAACTGTAGACCATTTTTACTTTTCTGCAGTTCTTTGACAGCGAATTCCAGTACTAAATTAAACAGAAAGGGTGATATGTACCGGCTGATTAAACTCCCATTTTTTCTCTAAGATCTGCCGAATAGCAAAAATTTGATCTGTAGTCGATCTATTTCTCCTAAAACCGTACTGGTGATCTATTATCTCTTAGTCCGTATACGGTACTATCCTAGCTAGCAAGATGTTTGATAGTATTTTGTAACATGTCGGTAAAATTAATACAATACATTTTGTCTCCCTTTTTAAAGATTGAGATTATAATGGACTCTTTCTATTGTCCGATCAATCTATTACCTCCTCCCCTTCCCATTGTATTAGCTCCGTAGGAATTGAAGTCGTTACCCGATGTGATTTATGATTTTCTAGCTTTTTACTTCTAATATCGTTGGAAGACGGCTTAGAGCAAACGCTCTAAAAGCCACGACGGAGCTGGCATGCTTTCACGTTCGATGTCGGAGAGTGGGACTACTTAAAAAAATGTATTATTATAATTAGAAGAAAAAGGTACACACAAGTGCATGCATATATGTATATGTATATAATAAATTGAACAGTTTAATATAAATCCTTATTGGATTAAATGATTAATTGAATTATCAAATATCGAAATAAAGAACTATGAGGATAATAGTCCCAACGTTTGTAGACATATTTGTGCAGCTTCAGCTTTAGCTTGCTTCTTGTTAGGACTAGCAAATGTTGGTTTATATTCAATACCATTTACCTTAACCTGTAGGAAAATAAAGAAATAGACACAAATTTATTTACGTTTATTATATAACAATAGTCAATTAGAAAATATATATATATATGTACTTTAGAAGACATACTTTAAATAGAAAATTTTTTTTATGATCTGGGCCACACTCAAAACACAATTCGTATACAGGCGCACCAAGTTTTCTTTTTGAACAATACTCCCCAAGTAGTGATACTGGATGCTTCCCTTTATATAATTAACTATACATTATTAAATGTATAAATATACATATAAATATTATACAATGTTATTTTCATATAAATGTACCTTCTAATGTTTTAATAGCCGGTATTACTGGCTTAGCCGTTTTATTATTAATCTTTTGTCCAATATCTTGTTCCGATATGAGACCTCTTTTATCTAATTTCACTTCTAGCTGTAACGGCTCTAATGTACCTTCTTTATTTTTACCCAAACCTTCACCTGGTCGCCAACCCATCTTTTGTAATAAAGCCATTCCCATACCACCAGAAACAGGTTGCGCAGACACTAATTGATCCTAAATAATGTTATTTGTGAAACATTGAAGTATCACCATTAAAAAAGATATAAGTAATCAACATTGAATATTAATTACTACATCATTTGAAAACTCATGAAGAAATATGATTTTCGTCATTCGTTATTCTAAAGATAAATAAGAAAAATCAATGTAACAAGAATCAATTATGTTATACCCACAACCATGACCAAACCTTTGTCTGTAGCTCAATACAATTAAAAATAATTAGAATACAGATATACAGACAGGGTTGGTCATCACATTTTACCATCTAGATTTACCTTATTATTATTACGTGTAGCAAACAATGTTTCACATGGAGTTGAATGCCTTTGAAGGGAGGGTTCATACTGATGGTACTTTTTTTTTTTGTAGCTAGACGTGTAAAGAACATATGAAGGTCATTAATGATTTCTTTTTCTTTTTTTAAACGGAACCATATAAATTTTTATAAAAAGACGAAGTTGATGGCACGCAATTTTGTTTATTATTATTATTATTATTTAATTATAGCCAGTTGATATTGGAGCTATAGTATCACAAAGATTAACTGCTATGAGAAAGTTAAAAGAAAATCCGAATGATGCTGTTGCAAAAAGTCATTTGACTAGACTACAAAATCAGGTATTCTAATAATATTTTTTAAAATTATTCGTTTCAATATATAAATATATTAATTAACGATATACGAACATTATTAAAATATATTTTTGATTCTTTTATCATAGATGACAACGTGGGCAGAAAGTAAACAAATGCCAGGTCAATTTACTGGTAGTAGAGGTACCAAAGTGCTCTCACCTGTTGAGCTTCATTCAGATTATCAAGCATGGGCTTTAAGAAAAATGTATTCTAGTAACTAGGGCTCGTATTGTATAAATGTAGGATACAAATTTAGTTTCTTACATTAAAATACAATATCCCTAGGATAGGTCGAAAAAATGACTTTTTTTTTCTTTTCAAGTGCCACGGAAAAATGGGTTGCTAGACACCTTAAAGCCCAATTTAAATCTTCAATATCATTTAAATGGATGACTATTAAAAAAGTGCACAATACAAATTTTGGTAGGAAATTTAATGCTTTACAAAAAAGGTATCATCTTATATTTTTTCCGTAAACCTCACCAATTGGATGATATTGAAGATTTAAATTTGATGATTTTTAGGCAAATTTCATTTGTGTTTATGAATATTATAACTCGACAATAAATGACAATCAAATTTAAAAAAAAAAAAGAAAAAAAAAAGTAAAATCATTACTTTAGGAGAGATATTTTAATTTTTATGTCTATTTACAAAACAAGATTCAATCAAGGCGATCATTTGCATCAAAACACTTTCTAAATCATAATTGTTATTTTCTTGCATTCATTGACGATACAATCCCTCATATTGGCCATTGTAGTCGGAAGCTCAGCGTAAACTTTATTTTTTAAAGTAGCCCCATAAGAAAAAGTCGAGGGACGTTAGATTTGGTGCTCTAGCCAGACAATGAATGGACCCACATCGTCCTATCCAACAATTTGGGAACATTTGATTTAATGTATCTTCTTGCTATTCTTGAATAATGACCAGGGCAACCATCCTGTTGTATCCACATTATTTGTCATGTATGCAATGGTAAATCGTCTAAAAATGTCCATAGAGTGTTTGATAAAAAATACAACAACAAAAAGTACCATCAGTATGAACCCCTTTCAAAGCCATTCATCAACTTCATGTTAAACATTGTCTTTTACGCGTAATAATAATAATAACGTCAATCTAAATGGTAAAATGTGGTGACCCACCCACCTTGTATATGAATATACATATATTTGTGTATATATATATACACAAATATATTTATATATATATTTTATTAAATGATATTGACTTATTCAAATCTTACATTTTACAATTTTCTTTTGGGCAAGCATACTTACCGATAAAATTAAAAATCGGTCATCAGGCTGCTGACGTTATGTCTTCTGTGAGGTAGCTATGTGCCTGTAACAAACCCTCAGGTGGATGCAGACTAATGCTAAATATCGCAGCTTTATCGTTAAAAGAAAATTATTAAAGTCTCTGTCTGGGAATCCTACGGTACAAAGCTGATGATAGTTAGCAATAATCTCACAAGAGATCACAAGATAAAGTAACTATTAATAATAGTACAATATGTTGTTTTTTCTTTTTTTTTTTTCCTTATCCTCATCATTATTTGAAAATATTTTCTTTTAATTTTTTTTTTTTTTTTTATTAAAAACTTATTCAAATATTTAGAGAAATAATGATTCTCTTGTGTTCCTGCAGACACAGAGTCCACCCCTACTTGAGAAGTGGTCTGTGCCTACATTACAGTCATCAGATCAATAATGACTTAACTTTATTGATCTTAAGAAAGACTGTACCTGAAAACTTGTTACAGGCAATATCAATCAGTATATAAATAAAAAAGTAACAAGCCCTATATATATATATATATATATGTTACAATTAATTGATAATGATATAATCAAAAACATTTTTCTCATATTTAAAATTAATATGTAGCCAAGTTTTCAATTTAGTCTTCTGTTTTACTTTAATTTGTGTTATTATCACACACAACACACACACACAGAGAGATAATAGATAAAATTGATTTAAAATTAATTTACCAAAATTGATATCCTATGGGCATGTTACATTTTTAATATGAAAGAATTTCAACAGAATTACATGATACGGGCTCATATATTGTATCTTAATGTAAGAAACAAAATTTGTATCATACATTCATACAATACGAGCCCTAGTTACTACATTACAGTTACCTTATGAGCCCATGCTTGATAACCTGAATGAAGCTCAGCAGGTGAGAGCACTTTGGCACCTGTACTACCAGTAAACTGACCTGGCATTTGTTTACTTTCTGCCCAAGTTGTCATCTATGATAAAATGATCAAAAGTATATTTTAATAATGTTCGTATATCGTTAATTAATATATTTATATATTTAAATTAATAATTAAAAAAAATATTATTAGAATTACCTGATTTTGTAGTCTAGCCAAATCACTTTTTGCAACAGCATCATTCGGATTTTCTTTTAACTTTCTCATAGCAGTTAATCTCTGTGATACTATAGCTCCAATATCAACTGGCTATAATTAAATAATAATAAACAAAATTATTTAATTTACTTTAAAATATGTTAAATTTTAATTATATTAAATTTAATACTCCTGTCATAGATGGTCTTGGAAAAACTGTTGGTTGTACAGGTTGTACTGGCTGTATAGGATTTGGCTTAGGCACTATTGATGAAACTGGTTCAACAGATGGTAACGATGTTTGTACAAACGGTTTTTTTGGTTCTATTTTTTTTGGTGTTACAGGAATCCATTCGCTTTCTTTATTAATTGATGAAAATAACAATGTTAGTATTAAAATATTATTGAATACCATTATTGGTTTAAAAAAAAAATATTTGGTAGACTGACCAGTTTTTCTATGTTGCTGACCACTAGATACGGGAAATTGAAGACGCAATTGATTTGAAGATTCAGCTGTCTTTTCTTGAAATGTTTTTGTTGGTAATTGTTTTGCATTCTAAATAAAAAAAAAAAACAATCATAATAATAATGTTTATAAATATGTACTACCTTTATACTTTCATAATTATGGACACAAATGATATTGAATCTTTTTCATGAAAATCGTACTCGAATATTCATGACAATCGGATTTGGCCTTTCTTTTAGAAGAAATGGATGATGGAAACCTTTATCTGATTCACTTCCGTCGGTATCAGACGATAGATTGGACAATTCTCCTATTGCTTCAGATTTTGATATAGATTTACAAAAATCTGTTATAAACAGAAGAAAATGCATGTGTGAAATACTTATTATTAACCCTCTTTAACCTACGATTTACGTTCAAGAATTTTGGGTTGTAAACTTAAACAAGTTCATGCAGCCTTCGAGCCATTCGTATGACTTGTTTTATACGCTGATCAAGCCAATCGTGAATATTACAGGCATCGCTCGTAGTAGGACGGTCGCGGTTTGTATGAATAAGCTTTTTGTAGTACTTGCTATGCCCGTAATATTCACGATTGACCTGATCATCGTACATAGGATATGCCCAAAATTGTGGGTTAAACGGGTTAAAAGAAAATATTAACACATTGCATCTTCTCATAATAAAAATATAACCTGTAAGTTCGTCCAATAATTTCTTTTTATCCTTTTCAATACGTTCTCTATTAAAAAAAAAAGAAAAATGTTAATTACAAGACAAAATAATATATATGTATATATATATATATAATGTGATAATAACAAAAATACTAACTTTCTTTCCTTACTCCTACTTCTTCCTCTAACATACATGTCTCTACTTTTCTCTCTGCTACGACTTTTGTGTCTCCTCCTCTCTCTGCTTCTTCTCGAATCACGTCGCTCATAACTTCTATCTCTGTCACGTCTTTCCTTACTTCTATCTGAATATTTATCCCTAGCTCTACTTCTACTACGATGATTATCCACTTGTGAATCCGATCTATTTCTCTCTTGCGAATGACAACTTCGACTGCGTTTGCTACTTCTATTTTTAACTTTGTTATACGATTTATCCTTGCGTTCTTTATCACTGTAATCTTTTGGTTTACTCGCTGAACTTAATCTTTTCTTTTCTTTTTCTCTTAAAATTAATCTAAGATCATTTTTAGATTTCAACGGATTCACTGATTCAGATTTAAGTGTACTATTTGGACTTAATGTTGAAGATCTAAATGAATTATATGGTGGTGGTGTAGGACTTAATGTTGGTGTTCTATTATTGTTACTGCTGTCTGTTAATTCACCATCTTCCATACGCGCAGCTTTAACCTTTTCCTTAAACTCCATTGCCTTTACCGTTTCGAAAATAAAACTTTTTTGAAGATCTTGTATAATAATTTTTCCTGATTTTTGCTGTTTTGATTTATCTATAGATAAACATATTATTTAATAATCATACACTAGAAATGTTTTTCAATATATTATATATAAAAGAAAACGTTAATTAACCTAGAATTTTTGGTAGTTCCGATTCTTCAAAATCATCCTCTTGCTTCTTTGGAATAGGTGGTAATTCAGGACTTCCAAGTATTTGATCTTCTTTATCCTGTGTCACAGATTTATTAACAGAGTTAGTTTCATCCCTGATCAATGCTACTTCTCTCAATTGTACATCGTTGATACCCTCTTTAACAGATACATCTGCTCTAATATTTTCTTCTGTGATCAACTCATCTTCAATCTTGGAAATTTTAGATTTCGGATCATCCGAATCAGATGATTTGCTTGAATACGACTCATGTTTACGCTTAGACTTTTTCTTATGTTTTTTCTTCTTTTTACTAACTACAAAAATCATTATTATTATACATTGCATGCTAATAATAGATAGATAAAAAGAACATTTATAAAATTATAATAATTTACTAGAGCTTCCAATATCACTGTTGTTACTATCAGAAGAAGTATGTCTAGATCTTTTCTTATGCTTCTTATCTTTATGCTTATGTTTCTTCTTACTCTTCTTTTTTCTTTTCTCTACTTGACTTTTATCTTTTTTCTCTGATCTAACAGTATCATCTAAAACTTGTGAACATCTGTTATCTGGAGATACAACACTCTCATCTGCATTAAAAGTATTGAAAAGTTCAGTTAAAATTTCATTCGATGATTTTTCTGGCAAACCCGGTTCTGATTTGATTTTAATAGCATCCACTCCAACACTTGAAATCATATTTGCAATATCAAATAAATCAGCCATTATAATTAACTTATAATTAATATTACTAATAGAAAATTAAGATGATTGTTCTTGATTTATTCTTCGATTAGTTGAATGTTGATTGTTATTGTTGATGATATAGTTGCAATATAACATAGACAATTTCTTCTATGCTCAGAAAGTAGGATGTCTCGTGAAACACGAGTACTTCGATGAATTATTAAAAGATCGTTTATCAACGATCACGAAGAAAGTTCCAAAATTTTTTTTCCTTTTTTCTTTTTTTTAATTAACTGGTTATTCTTTTTGTTGACACCAAACAAAAAAAAAACAAATCACACGTGCAACTTCTCCTCCACGTCGTTATATTTAATTTCACACAATCGTTGAAATTGTTTTTTTTTTCTTTTTTTCATTACCGGAACGATAGAAAAATAAACAATGCGCAATGTTCGTTTCAATCGTATTTTACTATAATTCATATATTTTATATATATAATATATGTATACATATATATTATATTATATAAAATATAAATGAATTATATATTATCGTAAACGTACAATTTTATTTGTTACCGTCGTTCCACTATTATTTATAAATATCAATTCTATCACTAAATATAAAAAAATCTAAACTTCGACTTTGTAACCTCACATCTCTTTTCGAAATCTAGCGATATAATACGTATAACAAGTAATACAAATTATTATAATTAATACCTATTACACAATCGATTAATATATAATAATTAATATAATATTATAAGTAAGTTTAACTATTATTTACTGAATCATAGAGTAAGCACAAGATCTGAACTAAGATAACCTCAAAAACTACTCTTCCCGAAATCTAGCGATATAATACGTATAATAAGTAATACAAATTATTATAATTAATAT